ACACTTAAATTACGGTATCGTTAATCATCAACGTGTAATTATTTAGATATAATATAGTTTGTTTTTACGTCTTAAACACCAATGACATTGTTATAAGACTTACGGAAATGTAGTAAAATTCACTGTAGTAACAGAAATAAATTAAAATAATAACACATTATCACACGGTTCACCTTAAGTTACAGTTACCTATGTTCTTATATTAAAGAATAACAGTGTCTAGCAGAGAGAATGTTATACAATTATACAGTAGTTTTGTGACCATCAATAAAAACATTCTTTTCATGGCTACTAGATGTAGAATGCTGAACATATTGTCATTGCATTGTTATTTCTGTCGGTGAAAAGATAAAAAAATAAGGACCCATGTTTAATGACAGCTTGAAGATCTCATACAAAAACCGTCTAAGCGAAATAGCAGACAAAACATTGAGAGAATCTGATTTTCACCCTCGTAAAGACCTACAAAAAACTTATATTCAATCTATGCTAAATGTACGATGACTTTCTTAAGTTATGAGAACGTCTATATGCATAACAATAAGTATGTTGCAGACAATGGTAGACTTTCCTTTGAAAAGCTCTGGTGGTACAGCAAAGGATCTGTTATAACCTCGTAAGTGAATTCTGAGTCATTGCCAGACAATCTCGCAGCTGATGCTCTGTACAACTGTAATATAGCCTCTGAACATTTCAAACAAGTTATCCTCACAGTTATCAAATGTTATCCACCTGACTGCCTGCTCCTTAATCTACTGAGATGCGAGTTGCTTCAAGGTTTTAGTTTTACGGATATAAATTGCAGTTCTACGATATTCTGTGGCAGGGTCTTTATGGTGGATGACTCTCCACTTGCTGTCCTGCTATTGAGGTCGAGCCATCCTTGTAGATGGTGGTAGTCATTATTCTGTGGCAGGGTCTTTATGGTGGATGGCTCCCCACTTGCTGCCCTGCTGTTGAGGTCGAGCCATCCTTGTAAATGGTGGTAGTCACTATTCTGTGGCAGGGTCTTTATGGTGGATGGCTCCCCACTTGCTGTTCTACTGTTGAGGTAAGGCCATCGTTGTAGACGGTGGTAGTCACTACTATGTGGCAGGGTCTTTATGGTGGACGGCTCCCCACTTGCTGTCCTGCTATTGAGGTCGAGCCTTCCTTGTAGATGGTGGTAGTCACTATTCTGTGGCAGGGTCTTTATGGTGGATGGCTCCCCACTTGCTGTCCTGCTGTTGAGGTCGAGACATCCTCGTAGATGGTGGTAGTCACTATCGCTGTCTTGGTGGCAGTTGGCTGGATCACCAAATATTTCTTGCTTGTAGCTGATGTGAAGAGACTTTCCTGATACTTAAATGTTGTCTTCTTCCTAGAAGACTTGAACTTCAGAAAATTCCTTTATATGAAGGAGTTATTATGATTGGCTCATATACGTGAGGACATAAAAGATGCTGTTGGGGATATTTCATGTTAAAACCTCGAAGTGGGCACTTGTTCGCTGAACCATAGTTTTGTGGTATTGCTCAAGCCTTGTATTTCATTTTGGGCATTTGTGTTACAGGCTGGACTATGGAGAGGTGGATCATCAGCTGGCCTGATCCAGGGTATATCTCCAGCTCTATCAGAGTCTTCTTTAGCAATCTGATAGTAAAAGGTGTTAATGGATTCTTGGTTGATGACATTGGAGACTTCAGACCAGTACATGAATCAGCAATGTATCTTTATCCAGGTCTGGCACCATAGTATAACTAAATATTCCTCAAGTTGCCAAGTAGGTATATCTCTGTATATTTACTCTCCTTTGTTGATGATAACACACTGAAAGCCATGTCAACACAAACAGAATGACCTGTAACTAGCTAATTGGAAAAAAAACATTATGGTCAAAAAATGTCAGGATTGAAAATGTAGAGTAAAACTTGATAAAAAATATGTAGATCTGTGTTTTTCCAGCCCATTTAAGACAAAACTTTCTTTTATAAAATTATCTTCAGAAACAGTGTTAAACCTATTACTATGGTGTAGTGCTTTTCAACATCAACAATTGTACCCAGATATACATATACATTACATATAGTAAATGTATCCCATCACATATGGATTTCCCAGCCTACTCAGACTTTAATGGATTTTGTGCTTAACCAAATCTTGTTGTACTCTCCAAGGTTGTCATTGATGATGTTCCATGATAATGTTTGACCCCAGCCTCTTCCATCTCACTACTGTTAAGTTGTTATAGGAAAGAGGTGGGGTTAAGGTGTACTTCCTGGTATATACACAAGTAAACAAAATAAGGTTGGTTATCACACTTCCTTGGAAATGTAAGTTTTTAAACACGAACATCTTCTTTTCCTTTTTGACTCTCTTAAGATACAAGTAGGCCAAGGAAAGGGCTGTAAAAAGCACAATTAAGTCAAGGAAAAGACTGGCAAAAAGCACAATTATGCCAAGCAAAAGACTGGCAAAAAGCACAAGTAAGTCAAGGAAAAGAGTGGCAAAAAGCACTGTACTTCCTGGTATATACACAAGTAAACAAAATAAGGTTGGTTATCACACTTCCTTGGAAATGTAAGATTTTAAACACGAACATCTTCTTGTCCTTTTTGACTCTCTTAAGATACAAGTAGGCCAAGGAAAGGGCTGGAAAAAGCACAATTAAGTCAAGGAAAAGACTGGCAAAAAGCACACTTATGTCAAGGAAAAGAGTGGCAAAAAGCACAAGTAAGTCAAGGAAAAGAGTGGCAAAAAGCACAAGTAAGTCAAGGAAAAGAGTGGCAAAAAACACAATTATGTGCATACTACACAGATTTTACTTACTCACAGTTAGTTCAATTCCATTCAATTGAAATGTTCTTAGCTAGCACTATGTCAAACTATGTGTTTTGGCTATCATAGTTTTAGTCTACCCATTACTTTTATTTTATCAATGAAAACTTACCACCTGCCAAATATTGTAGCATAGAAACTGAAATCTTTTCTCTCTTCCAAACACCAACAACCACAGTGAAATTTCATATTGTGAGATTTTAGCATCCTGATCAAATACTTTCCCTCACGTAACTGCTATTTATCATCAGTTAACGATTCATTCACTTGTGTTATACGACACTTATGAGCGATTCCGTGTATTTATGTAACCCACCCATATTATACCCATTAATACATGTATTGTCATATACTTATATTTCCACAATACACATTATGACATATACCAGTAGCCTCAGATAGGTCACTGTTATTGTGCTGTAACGTGCCATCATCTATGAGCTGTGAAACTCAGCTTATTTTCAAGAATTATTGAAAAAGTAATCTATCTGAACTGAACCAATATTCTTCAGCTAAGTTTCTTCTATTCGCTCCGTTGTCACCTTAAATATCAACACACTCTAACACCAGCTTCAGCTGAATACAACAGTATGCAGAACACCAGGAGGTGAATTAGCAAACATATTGTTTCAACAGAAACAAGTAAATCCATCTGTTATGGGTATCACCACAAAAAATAAATACAGGCAAACCCAATGAAATATAACCTAGTCCTTTATGGTTCTGAAGAATGTTCACAACTCGTCTAGCTCAAGAGCATTTTTCACAAAGCATTGGACAACTATTTCATAGAAGAAAGGTGGTCACTAGCTCAGAATGTAAGGGTTACAACATCCTTTCAATTGAATTTTTGAATTCGTAGCTAACACCTCCATTTCCAAGCATTAAATCTACCAACGCCAGCCAATCTGACTGTAGAGTAACAGAACAACTATCATCCAATATTTCATAGATTTTCTTGATAGTCCAACAAGTAAAGGCTGGAAAGTCTTTTTGGTCTTGTCAAAACTTGCTAACAATCAAGTGAGAGTCACAAAATGTAGTCCATACATTTTGTCAGCATCCAATAACTCGGAAAGAAAAGATCACATATCATTTTTATTCTTAGATTGTCTACCAAATAACTAATTCTAGCTTACATTTTAAATCAACCTGGTGATTATAAGGTTATCGTGAGCATCATGGCCAATCATTGCAGCTGTAATGGTATTACTTCTTATCCAACCACTATTCAAACTTGTTGTATTGCACCTATTGGTTCTGTATGACCCTAGGTCTCTGTATGATGCGTAGTTGCCCTGGGAGTTTACCTCGGAAGTCAAACCTCATGAGAAGAACTGTGGTGGAACTGATAACTTCACTTTATGTGGTTGAGCTCTTATACCAGTGGTCGGCAACCTTTGACCCACGGGTCACTAAGTGACCCGCGGCAATAATTTGGCTGACCCGCCAAAAGTTGGCTTCACCATTGCAACCCGTAAGGGCACAATCATTGTTCAGTTGAAATTTCTCGGCTATGTGAGAAGAACAACGATATTAAAGGAAAGATGGGAAAGAGTCACGGCTACGGAGAATTTTAAGATCAATTTCAGGGAAAAATATCAAACTGGTCGAACTATTAATTTTTTTGTATGTAAATAAACATACACATTTAAAATACATGTACCGGTATTAATAATTATATGATTATCACTGACCCAACACAATGCTAAATTTTTCAAAAAAAATAATTGACCCGCGATCAAAAAAGGTTGCCGACCACTGTCTTATATTATATTATTAGTCACTGTGGTGGTACTGATAACTTCATGTGGTTGAGCTGTTATACTATACCACTGGTCCCTGTGGTGGAACTGATAACTTCACTTCATGTGGTTGAGCTGTTATACTATATCACTAGTCCCTGTGGTGGAACTGATAACTTCACTTCATGTGGTTGAGCTGTTGTACTATATCACATGTCCCGATGGTGGAACTGATAACTTCATGTGGTGGAGCTCTTGCTCTTATACTATATCACTAGTCTCTGTCGTGGAACTGATAACTTCCCTCTTCTTCGTGTTGTAACTATTAACCAGACTACGTCAGCGGTTATTAAATAAATACTCAAACATCACATACACATTCATTGAGACAATTTATTTTTCTTAAAGTTTTGATGCAATAACGTTTATTAGCTGCTTATGAAATTTTGTCAGTGATGCATTTTGTTGGACAATCTTAACAATTTCATACAAATATATACATATACCTTGTTTATAAAACAGTGATTGCAGATATGACAATGTCTCATAATAAACAGTGGACAAGAAACAGGCTTTTAGATATGACAATATCTTATATTAAACAAGGAACAACACATCGATATTTCGTTTTATAGATAAACGTGTAGGCTAAAAAATATTTCTGCATTACAAAGATTTATGAAAAGGTAAAATTATTACATACTTTCTAATTACTATATGATGAACATCAAGTTATAAAATTTCAGGAAGTTTTTATTATCGGTATAATAATAAGTGCTTATTAAAGTTTGAGAGACGTATAACTTAGGATGATATAATGGGTATTATAGAAATATCACAACAACCAAGAACTTCACAAAATAGATGATGAACATTTTATATTGGAAATGAATAAGAATAAATTGTAAATCTGTACAAACAGGTGTTCTTCAGTTTTGTTCCTCTCATACAGAGAAAAAGATCCCACTCTTCACAGATATCCCTCCGCCATCTGTCGACATTTATTAAACAAGCATCAGAGGATATAACCACTTACCAGTTGTTGAGAAACGTGGGTTACGAGATAGTGGTACGTACTTTACAAATACTTCGATACATGATGTGAGTTATCATATAATATGAACATGGGACATAGGTTATTATATGATCACACATATACTTTACATTGATACAAGACATTACATAACATTACATGTGTTACATGGTCACAAAAAGAAGTTTATTATATAACACGCATTCTTTAGAAACTCTGACACAAAACGTGGGTTATTACATAAAGATACTGTTATGTATCTGCTTGTTTGTTAATTTCCAGTATAAATTCTTTCCAAGGAACTTCAGCGATACAACTCCTTTCTTAATTAAAACTAGTTTATTCTTTCTTGCTACAACTTTTTAGTACACAGAATTTACACAGTCACTTTAAACTTATGGTGCCTACTGTTCGCTTGACTCAATTATCTATCTCTTCAATCTATCTATATCTCTTCAATTGCACTGGTCTTTCTCTCCAAAAAAGAAAGTGCTTCGAACAAACTAGAGTTACCAGAAAAATTCAGGATCCTTTGAGAAACTCCAGCATGCATGCTCCCAGTGTTGTGTGACTTCCGCTGTCGTAACATTGCCTCTTCCTTGGTATTGTTCATCCCGAACAATAGCCACTTACATTTAACCAATTGATAATCAACAATAACTTAATTAATTGTACGTATCTTCTTTCGTACTGGTTTCCATTTCACTGGCTTCTGCTTCACATTGGGTACACGAAGAGTTTCTTCTTCGACAATGGCTATTTCAGCAACATCATTTGTTCCGTTGTTCACTTCGTTCCAACTGAAATGACCTGGATCGTGATAATGCCAAAGCCTGTTGGCATGCACCACCTTTGGCTTACCTCGCCGACCAAATTTTATTCGAAAAGTCACGTCTGAGAGACAATCCACTATGTCATATGGGCCTTCCCATGGAGATAACAACTTAGGAGACATCCCTTTGGTCTTCCTGGGATTATACAATCACATCTGGTTTCCTGGTACAAAGCTGACTTCAGTAGATCTCTTATCATGACATAGCTTCATGGAATCAGCAGACGTTTTCAAGTTTGAACCCACTTGATGGTGAATATCATCCATCCTCTCAGATAACACTTTCACGAAATCTGGCACATTTTCAGGCAACTGTTCGTTAGATGGGCGTCCTGTTATCAGGTCCACTGGCAACCGAAGTTCCAAACCAAACATCAACTTTACTGGAGTGTATCCAGTGGCTTTATGCTCTGCTGTTCTATAGGCCATCAATAGTGGAGGGAGTAAGACATCCCAGTCCTCTTGGCGGCTATTACAAAACTTTGCCAATTCCTGTCCCAGTATCCAATTGTACTTTTCTACCATGTTGTACTGGTCTTTCGTATGCCAAACAGCTTGCAGCATTCATGGAACACAGCTGATTTAAATTTATGGCCTTGATCAGAATGTAGTTCCCATAGAGTACCAAACTTGACAAAGAAATCACTAATAGCCGAAGCTACAGTTGTAGCTTACTGATTTGGTATTGCATATGCTTCAGGCCACATGGTGAAATAATCCATCACAACTCAAATGTACTTGTTTCCAGCACGAGTTCGGGGCAAAGGACCAGTAATGTCAATGGCTATTCTTTCCATTGGTGCTCCAGCTTGATATAACTTCATTGGAGCACGTCCCTTATGCTTTGGTCCCCTTTTAGCACAACATGTACTGC